TGTGTGTGTGTGTGTGTGTGTGTGTGTGTGTGTGTGTGTGTGTGTGTGTGTGTGTAGCTGTGCTGGAGGCGGTCCACAGGTGGAAAACAGAGAGAGAGTCTCGAGTGTCTGGAGAGCAACAGCAGGAGGAGGAAGAGGAGGAGAGCATCTACACCGTCTACAACGAAGAGGTGAACTGTCTCTTTACCTGCTCAGCCAATCAGCTTCTGTCAGGTGACCTCGGCACACCTGAGAGCGGTTCACTCGTAGAAACACACAGTCTGGTGTGAACGTGCGACTCTGACATGTAATCCAGATAAAATGATCTGGGTTTTCCTTCCATGGATCATGTAATCCAGATCACTGTTGTCCTGGTCAGTAAGAACTGAATAGGATCACTTTAATCCGGGTACAGGTTTAGGGATCAATCCAGGTTATCAGTACTTGTAGTGTGCTGAGATCGTTACGAAATACGATAACTTTGATGTTAACAGCTGGATTAATGCATTAGCCATGTTTACCTCGTCTGCTTTATCGTGATACGAGGACGAGCTGAAGACACTGAAACATTTTTCAAACGTTGAGGTAGACGTCATCCAGGTGAGGAAGTCCCAGAAGGTCGACCCTGTTCATCGGTTTCAGTGAAACATTTCAGTGTCAGCTGGTCTTCGATCGATAGTTACAACAATTTGCATATCAATGATGATGAAACTGACCTCACAGCCCATTGTTAGTCAGTGCTGCTTGTTCATAGGGTTGGAAACCTGCAGTCAGCTGAGACTGAAGAAGTCACCTGATGACGATGTTTCACTGAAGATGTGCAGCTGAACAGAGTCAGCCTTCTGGGTCTGACAGACGGGGTTCACGTGATTTTTATTTCATTTTATTTAACATTCAATCCAGTGACCCAACGTCAACAACATGTGGGTTATTTACTGAAACATGGTGGACATTTTGAATCATCCTTAAATCATCCAAGTTAAATAAGTTTAGAGAAGAGAAAAATAAAGACTAATTTACTGACACACACAGATGTGCTTGAATATGAACAATCTTTTTTGATTTCTGCAGCCTGATGACCAGGAGAACCAGGAGGAGCAGGAGGGAGAGGATGGAGGACTCGCCTTCATCGCACACGTACCTGTTCCATCTCAGAAAGAGGTGAGACACACAAACACGCTTGCCTGCAACGTGAGGACCCTCACTGCCAAGGATGACGCCTGATTGTAACCAGAGCCTTGAAAGCAGCTCTGACTGTGTCCGCTTCATTTAGATCTCCAACCTATATAGAGCCAACAACGTGGCCTACCTGAGTGGGCGTCACCTTTGGCACACCTGTGCAGGCGGTGTTATCTTTATATTTCCCAGGAGGTGCAGGTCAGCCTACCGTGCAGGGTTCCAGGAGAGTTTGGTCTGTTCAATTCACTTTTATTTACACAGCGCCAAATCACAACAACAGTCGCCTCAAGGTGCTTTATACTGTAAGGTCGACCCTGCAATAACATATACAGAGAAAAACCCTACAATCATATGACCCCCTATGAGCAGCACTTTGGCGACAGTGGGAAGGAAAAACTCCCTTTTAACAGGAAGAAACCTCCAGCAGAACCAGGCTCAGGGAGGGGCGGGGCCATCTGCTGCGAGAGAAGGAGGACATGATAAAGACACGGGTCGTGTCCAAATTCATGGGCTGCATCCTCCTCAGGACGGGTTTGTAGACCGATTACGTCACAGCGACGCGCCGAAGGCTGTCCAAATTCGTAGACTCCTCCGAATGCAGCCGACAAATGCGTCCTCCTTTTCCCCGAATTTGAAGGATGGGTCGGGTGTGTCCTTCGTGGCCCACCATATCCCAGAATTCATAGCGCGGCCCAGCCAAACTCCAGTTTCCAACAATGGCGGCCGCTACTAAGTTTTAAAATTACTCATACTAATCTTTCTGGGTCACAAAATAAACTTTTAACATATTTTCAGGCGAGAAAGTAGCTGTGTAAACATCAAATATCTGCTCGGTTTATCAAGATATCGCATATTTGCAAAAGTGCTTCGACGTTTTCGGAGACGTCTGCTACCCACCAGCTCGACAGCTAGCCGGGAGCTCGAGGGTTACTGATGCGGCCGAGAACGGCACAACTCCCGGCACATCATTTTCAGATCACCGCGGACTTTCGCTGCTCGGGTTAAACGTAATATATAAGTCACTTAGACAACCTAAAAATGTTATTGTTGGGCTTTTTTCAGTGTTTTGTTTGTTCGTGAGTAAATCGGTTTGGCTGAGATCAAAGTTCTTAGATTAGATTAGATAAAATAAAACTTTATTAATCCCCCGGGTGGTTTTCACACAGCTGAATAAACATTAAACAGAAAACTGATTAAACAGACGTGTGAGACAGTCGAGAATTTACTCCAGTGTCCTGTTATATTTTAGACAGCAAGGAGCAGACGGCCGAGTTTATTAAACTCCACCGAGACACCGGTGACGCTAATCTGAAGGCTAGACCGCCCAATTTCACTGCCGTTTACTTCCGGCCTACCCCACCTTCTGAGGACCGGGCCCACGTAGACCGCGAAGGCTGGGTCCTCAGGAGGATGCAGCCCATGAATTTGGACACGACCATGCTGTGGAAGAGAGACAGAGATTAATAACGGATATGATTCAGCAGAGAGGTCTGTTAACACATAGCGAGTGAAGAAGAAACACCCAGTGCATCATGGGAATCCTCCAGAATGGTCTAGTGATGAACTACCTGTGGTACGTAGTTCAGGAGTAACCTCCCTCCCTGTCTGTCTGTCTCTCAGGTGGAGGAGGCTTTGGTCAGGAGGAAGAAGATGGAGTTGCTGCAGCGTTACGCCAGCGAGACTCTTCAGGCTCAGAGTCAGGAGGCCCGAGCTCTGCTGGGGCTCTGACCCATCTGTCTGCTGCTATAAATACAGGCGTGTTTTTTACCTTTTCTTAATAAAAACTTTCTGCTCTTCAGTTTATTCTCGTCTACTTTTCTTGCTTATAGTGAACCTCAGGTCTGCCCCCTGCTGGACAGTGAAGTGAACATATTTCATTGAGGGGAAAGAAATGTTGACTTTTAGGAGAATATTGGCACCAAACCACAGCAGCAGTCTCCTCCGGGCGCTTTTAACGTAGAGACTCGACAGCAATTTAGTGCAACTGATCTCAAAACTGGGAAAAAGAATCACAAACGTCATGATTTTTAGGAAAAAGTTCATTGTGACAGACTGGCGTGCATCCTCTCACCTGTGACAGCTAAAATAGGCTCCACCCCCCATGACCGTGACATGGATAAGCAGAAGAAAATGGCTGGAACATGTTTGTGCAGCTAAATTTGTTTTATTCTTTTGTTTTGTTTTGTTTTTTACACGTTTTCATTTCCTTTCCAGCTGGATATTACAAAGGTTTTCCATCGCTATGGTAACGATGCTCTGCTTCTTCTTCTGTGTTGACCCTAATATTCACACTACCTTTAACCTCAGCAGCAGCAGGGGTCAAAGGTTCATCAGCAGTACCTCGCTGTACTGTCAACACTGAGGTTACTGCAGTACTTCAGTCTGTGTCATCATGTGGCTTCAATCTGCCTGTTGATTGGTGGCAGCATTCTGCAGCATGTGGCTGATTAATGACCTGACGCTTCATGTGATGTCATGTGAGGAGGAAACGGCTGTGTGTGTGTGTCTCTGT